GTGACCCTCCTCTGGACTCGCTCCAACAGCTCCATGTCTCTCCTGTACTGGGGCCCCCAGAGCTGGACGCAGTACTCCAGGTGGGGTCTCACCAGAGCGGAGTAGAGGGGCAGGATCACCTCCCTCGACCTGCTGGTCACACCTCTTTTGATCAGCCAACCAGGACACGGTTGGCTTTCTGGGCTGCAAGCGCACACTGCCGGCTCATGTTGAGTTTCTCATCAATCAATACCCCCAAGTCCTTCTCTTTGGGGCTGCTTTCAATCCATTCCTCGCCCAGTCTGTAGTTGTGCTTGGGATTGCACTGAGCCATGTGCAGGACCTTGCACTTGGCCTTGTTGAACTTCATGCGGTTCGCACAGGTCCACCTCTCAAGCCTGTCAAGGTCCCTCTGGATGGCATTTCTTCCCTCCAGCGTGTTGACCACACCACACAGCTTGGTGTCATCGGCAATCTTGCTGATCGTGCACTCAATCCCAATGTCCATGTCGCCGACAAAGATGTTGAACAGTGCCGGTCCCAGTTCCCTGAGGAACACCACTCATCACTGATCTCCACTTGGACATTGAGCTGTTAACCACAACTCTTTGAGTGCAACCATCCAGCCAATTCCTTATCCTCTGAGTGGTCCATCCATTGAATCCCTGTCTCTCCAATTTAGAGACAAGGATGTTGTGCAGGACAGTGTCAAATGCCTTGCACAAGTCCAGGTAGATGATGTCAGTTGCCCTTCCCTTGTCCACCAATGCTGTAACCCCATCATAGGCGGCCACCAAATTTGTCAGGCACAATTTGCCCTTAACAGATCAGCACCACTTTTCTTACCCCAAAGCTCAAGCATGCATTTTTCCTCAGCTTCAGGACCAGGGTCACTCTGACCTCACAGTTTACCCTGCAGTTAGGTCCTCGTACAGCAAAATTCTAAAACTTTTAAATTTCACAGCTCAACCTGTGGTTCATGGCTCCTTTAGAAAGGAAAACGTGTGTGTAGGGACATCACTAAAGGTTTCAGAAGAGATCTTGAAGTAAGAGCCGTGGTTCCAGAGCACCCTGAACAAGCAGGGAATTGCTAACAATTGCAACCGTTCCCATCAGCCTACCTCTGCTGAAGGGGATGCGTGAGCGGAAATGCTTCTGGACAGGACGTAGAACATTCTCTCATTTCTCCACTCAAATGAATGTCCAACGCAACTTCAGAAAAGCTGGACCTTACACAGGAGTGCTTTAGCAGTAACACAAGAAATTATCTTCTCACAGAAATGTCACTTCAGCATTGTGAAGACTAACTAGAAGTGTGCGCTGCTCTGCCGTGCTTTTGAAGTTACACCAAGAGCTTATTATTCCTCAGCTCGTATTTCCTCCCACAGCATATTCGGGTGACAACATTTGATGGCTGAAGTCAGTCAGCCCGATTAAAGTGACTAGAGAGCAATCTGCATACTTTCTTCCCCACCAGGATGACCTTTCTAAGGAGAAACACCAAGATCTCCCAACCAAAACCAGCAGCAGCAGCCTAAGTAACACTGAGAACTTCCCTCTATACCCAGTAAGTAATGTGGGGGGAGAGGGTGTAAAGGCAGGGAGAAGAGCAGCTATGCTATGAATCTATAGAAGCAGTTACAGAAGTTCAATGTGATAGCAACAAGAAAATCTCTCACAAAAACAACTTAAAATTACTTTATTTTTTCAGTATATTAGCACAGTATTTACAAAATTGTTTCATGTTGCATAAATAAAAACATTTTCTTGGGTAAAGACTGTAGATTTATAGATATTTAAAATGTCTCTATCTTTATATTTACACATATATGCACACACACACAAATGGAAGCATACAGTTATGAACAACTTTGGTTTTGAATTACTGGTGGGAAAGGGCTGGGTGTATCAATGACTTTTTAAACTCTCGCTTGTAAATTTGTACCTACGAGAAATCCAGAGCCGAGCCCTCAACGCAGCTGCAGGACCGTGGGCTCTCCCATGGCTGGGGCAATTGATTCTGGAGCCTGCACATGGCCACCGAGCTCCTCAGGTCTCAGCAATGGCTGCTAACCCCTCGGCCTCGTCCCACAGCAACACAAAAGGGTTCTACTGCAGTTTGCTTTCCAAAAGTTAACATAAAGCTATTATACGTAATGTTTTTTATAAGGCAGAATACCTCAACAGAATTCCAGTTGGTTTGGTTTTTATCCCTCAACTGCTCAACTTTCAACTTGCCAGAGGGCACGACCAGTTATAAATAGGGAGCTCTGCATGGTACTTTATCAGGTAAATCCTTACACTGAATTGTTAATGGTGAGTAATCTCCCATCTTTAGGTAGAGATTGCTGTCATTATGGAAAAACCTGTATCGAGATTCATATATAGGAGCTCAAATCGTATATGAATACTCCTACTGACAAACTTGAAGGTATGAAAATAAGTGTAAACCATACGTACTTCTTAAATGTTTTACCACATTAATAACCCTCTTCACTGTGGCCAGGTCCACTGACTTTAGCAAGGGCTGGACCATGGGTTGCTTTAAGCGGTTCAATCCTGCGGCCCTAGCAAGAGGACCATTTATAAGTAAATATTGTAAAATCAGGTACCGCAGTTTTATTTTGTTGAATTCTTGATGCAAGGTGTCTGCAACAAGACTTGGAGCTCAACACGTAGAGACCTGACTCTCTGCAAAATGCACCCACAACATGGATATGAACCTTAGCTTATAACATCCAACTCTGAGACGTGACAAATTACTTAGAATTTTTAAAACCATGGATTTTATTACATTACTGCTTGGCAACAGCTTTCCAAACAAAGTTTTAAACTGTTAGAAGGAGAAAAACATGTGTGCCTTTGAAATGCATTACCTTAGTACGAATAGGAGACAGTGTCAAGATTTCTACAAAGTATACATGAAGTCCAAGAGAAACCAACTATACTGGAACAACTCTCAAAACAGTTGTAAAACATGGTAAAATCTCATGGAATGTGCAAGTCCTAGAAAATTGATTTTTAACTGTACCACTTACGTATATACAGAAACTGAGCCTCCTTACTTCTCATCACCTACTCCTACTTACTTTCTATTTTATGTATTTGTGATGCAATGGGCAGCATCACAAACTTGGGTCAGAAATGAAATGGCTCCTTTTTCCATTCAAGGAAACAGATTTGGAAACTGTCAAAAATACACTAAATAGGACAACTCCTATTTTTATGGAGCATCCATGAGTTTTACAAATTCACTGAGTTAAGAAAGCCTGAAATTGCTTCCAGTACCACGCACTGCACATGAACATACACAAGAACCACATTCAGCATGAAAATTACTAGCTGCTGTGCTCCATAATTCCAGCGCTGAATTAGGCTCCAACAGCTGAGCAGTTTCTCAAAGAATATAGAGGAGGCACGAACAGCTCTCTCACTGGACTAAAACATCGGCCACCAGAGCATACATGGCTACTGTCCATAGAGAGGAGTACTACTGTTTCATGGAATTAGGAGAACTCAGTTAACCTAAGGAGAGCTGGGAATAAACTTTGTACTTATGCAACTTTGTGTATAATAATTTTATTTTTTTCATGAAAGTTTTGCTGAATGTCAGAGAAGATGTATTTGTACAATCTCTACTTCCTGCTTGTATCATAGACATATGACCATACCTTGCCCATGCACACATATAAAGAAAACAAGTCTAAATGGTATTGCAATCTTTGGGCTGAGCAGGCCCATTATCAAAGCAGTGACAAATGATAGTTTTTGAAAATAATACCACTAAGGATTACCGCAGGGAGACCCTGTAGTGGGCAAACAGTGCTTTTTATATTCTCACCCTCAACTATACCATATATACCATAACAAAAGAAAATAAAGATCACATGTGGGCAAACACACACGTTCCTCGCTACAGCTGCTGTGACTATAAAATGACATCATTTATATCAAAAGCACTTTTGCCACACATGCAAAACAACTAGTTTCCTGAATTTCTTCTGAGTAGTGCATCTTCAAGGCCACGGTGTATCAACAACGGTGTACTTTTCACATATCACATGCCCCCGCAGTTCTGGGAATTAAAAAAAAAAAAAAGACAAGATAAGATAATTCGGAAAGAGCAGCAACATTTTGTGCTGCCAACCCAAGTTACAGCTTAAAAAAAATGACTTTTTATTTCAAACTGTGAAATAAAAAGCATGTTTAGCACTCAAGTAATGGAAAAGAGTGGTACTAACAGCAACTGATGTTTCAGCCTCTCCACAGCAGAAAAATGGACACTGTCTTGGAGCTCCGACTCATGGAATGGCATAAGCTGTAGTGGCTCCCAGACTTAACTGTCTGACCTGTCCTATCTACTCCTAACGCTGGTTTACTTTCACATGCCATTTTGTAAGCCAGTCTGCTTCAGCATCTGACTCATCCTCCCTTCAGTGTGTGTGTGTGTGAACTTTCAAGGGAAGGTTAAGTTAGAGAGCAGGTAGGGCTCAAAAAGTTCCTGCCTCCAGCTTGCGAGTCAGAGTCTGCCATCTATCTGTAAAACCTTCTGTTATTTTTAGGAGCCATCTTTCAGGGCAGAAAAAGCAGATGGACTTCTAATCCTACCCTGAAAGTCAAAATGAAATGGATAATTAGCAATTTCTTTGGTTTTGGAAGCTCTGCCTCAGCACTAGAAGAGGAGGCAGGTTTTTATAAGCCTCAATGAGACCCAAGAAGAAACAGTCAACTTAAAAGCAGATCTGCAAGCAAAACTACCTTGCCCTTCAGCAGCATGTGGTAGCTGTATCAATCCCACCCTTATCTCCCTTTGGTCAGTTTTGAATGCAACAGACTGGCAAATACCTATTTGTTTCCTGATCTCAAATCACTGCCTTCAAGAACAAGCAGTAGCCACTTCTGAAGCAGGACCTACCATCCAGTCCTCCTACTTTAGCTTATACGAACTGGTATACATTTTATCAATGCATTTAGGAGACACCGATGCAGTTGTCCTTTGTACTGCAAAAGTGCTTGTATTGCTATTGGTTTAGAAAATAATCCCATGGCATATTTGGATGAATTACGTAGTTGTCGTAAGTAACATAAACCTAGCAGTAGGTGGTATTTGTAAGGAAGTCTGTTTTTACAATCAATTGATATAGGTTTTTCCAATTTGGGCTAACTAGTACCTCATTTATTGTCACAGTGTCAGTTCATGCCTTCTGGAAGTGGCACGGTAAGTAAATTAACATATTTAGAGTGACCTTACTCTTTATCCTAACTAATGTTAACCTTAGCAAAATGTTGTATTTTGACGCAAGAGTACCAGGCTAAGGGTCTAGTGATACCCCATGACAGGCTTGCTCAGTTTCCAAGAAAAAACAGAAGTACAGATAGCATCAACACGTGCTCTTTTATCCTACTCCCATGAAAGGGAAGTACAGCTTCTGAACAGAAAAGAATCAATAAAAACCTGTTTTCATTTTCAAACCTGAGCATCTAATCTAGAATTTAGGCTCTTCAATGAGAGCAATCTGGCCAGGCAAACACTGTTACTCTTCTGATGGGTATGAACTACAGGAACCAAGTATCTTGGCTACCCACTTTCCTACCAGTTTGAGAATTTTGGGCCAAGTTAATACAGTCCCTCCCATTTCATGGCTTATTATAAATTAGGAGGAGTCTATTCACATGTAGTCGGTGTTGCAACCTTAGAGGCTATTATAACATCAAAAAGTACCAATCCCAGCATTGAGAACATTTCAAATTGGAAGGAATCCTAAGTTAGGCCAGGACACTACAACATACATCTTCCTTTACAATATCTGGTAGACCTTTAATCATTGAATATAATCAACGGGCAGAAACCACAGTGCACTTTTAATATCTTAAAGTTCAAAATTCAAGTTTGTCAAAAGTAAGTTGATGTTTTTTAAGCAGTTCTTAAATTTTATTAAGATCTGTTTCAGTTCCATTCATTTTTGAACTCTACTACCTCACCTTGAAAAACAATAAACTGAGTGAAATCTAATTGGAATTCAAACAATCTAACAAAACCCAAAGAATTGAAATAACATCTAAAAGGTGGAGGGGGAGAGAAAGTCTACTTTTAAACCACTTTTCAGTGAACTTCTACAGGAGATCACCAATTAAACACAGCTTAGTTACATTAAGAACAACAAAAAAACACCCCCAAAACCAAATACAACAACCCACCAGCAAGGAAACAATCCATGCATCTTATATACTATCTAAGCATAAAGGAAGCATACAAACTATTTGACTTGCCACATCTGACCAGAAACATACTATTTAATAGTTCTCTCTCACTGACTCATCCTCTTTGCTGGTGAAAAATACACATTCTTCCCCTATGTATGTTACAGAAAACAGGTATTCTTTCTTTTCAATGAAATATAATTTGAGTAAGAACAGCACCTGTATTGAAACTTGTCCTCCAAGTTTCATCATATTAGCACTGCGTAACCCTAAACATCAAAATTCCCAATACATGTCAATTAAAATAAATATCTGGAGATGTATTTGGACTTACCATCATTCTAACATCACTCCTTTTGCATCTTTAAAAGCCAAGCAAATGGATTAGTAATGAGCCAAACAGCAAGAAATGCTTCATAATTAATATTTAGATTAATTCTAAAATTTGGGTTAGAACTTGCTACTACTTGGCATGCCAATTAGTGAACAGAATAGCAAAAAAAAAAAAAAAAAAAAAGAGAAAATGTCAGTCATCCCTTTCTCACATCTTACACACTATCAGAGAGTATCCCAACACCATGGTAGAGTTTCCCCAACCCAAAGAAATACCAAAAGAATGGAGCGACAAGGTTAGATTTTGCTATCATCCTAAGTACTCCACCAAGATAAATGCTCAAATAAGAATTAAAATAAATTTTCAAGACTTGTCCCCTTTTTTCCTCTTACAGGTTGGTCTTTTTGTAAAGCGAAGAGGGTGGATATAATATCCTGAGATACTAGATTTGTCCTAAAACAGTCAAACAATGCCACTGGCTAGCAATCACAGTAGCGTAGAACAGGGGGTCTGGAGCTGCAGGCATAATTTCATCGAGAGATGAAACAACTCTTACTGACTCACAGAGCTACATAAACTGACATACCAATCTGCCATCCCAGTGGTGTTGTATTGAGAACTACAAATTTTTTTAACCTTTTTCCATAATTAATCACTTAATTAGAAGATAAACCTTGAATATCACCTACCATTTAGTGGTTCTTCTACAGCTTTCTGCAAAACATTTAAAAATATATATATGTATAAAAAGCCTTCATGTTTACTTTTGGCTCGCCACAGTTAAATTACTCTAATTGACATATACAGTAAGTAGTGATTCTACAAAAATGAAGAAAGCTGAACATTAATAAAATTACCTACTAGAGTTCTGAAATTTTTACATCAATAACAGCATTCTCCAGATTTTTCCCCACTGTAATTTTTTTCTCAGATGAAATACCCCTAGGTGGCAGCAAAAGGCATGCAGACACTACTTTTAAGCTCTAAAATCTAACTGATTATTTTTGTGATTTCATCAATGGTTAGTAATAAAGCAGTTAGTAATAAATGACTAAAAAGAAAAAAAATAGTAGCCAAGCAATCAAGTGTAATGTCCTCAAAAGGAAATACACCACAGTTGTGCATTTAGTCTGGTAGACAGTCATCAGAAACAACACATGCAATCTACAGAAGTGTTTTAAAAAAAAAATAAAAATCAGTAATTGGTTAAGATGGCAGATTTCAAAATGTACACCCTTTCCCCTCTCAGACTCAAGAAAATATCAAGCATCATTTTGTAAGTGTGCCCCAGTGTCAAAATTAAGCACTTCACCAATATTTAGTTTTCCACAGTCTTTAGATTACACAGAATCAAAGTGTATTTTCAAAATTACTTCACATCTATTTATTGTTTCAAAATACAGCAACAAATGCTGAACAGCCCTTGACTGAAATGAGCAACATACTAACACAATTTTCCACTAGGTCTTTCTGTAACTTCCTTAAGTTCACGAGCACAAATTATTGTCACCTGAATTCCTCCCTACACTAACTGCAGCTATAAAAACCCTATTTTTAGTGGCCAAGATTTCCAATGACCTCTAAGTATTAAAAATTTATTTGATTTCATTCCTGTCTCCAATTCAGAGAGTAACATGGTGTTCACTACCACATAACTGTGGCTATCTCTTTATTCGTCAAATCCTCGCTGCAGTGTAAAAGCACCTCGTGAAGAGAACAGCTCATAAAGAGAACGGAGTTCCGCAAAGGATGGTATTTAGCATGTTGGTTTCTATTTCAAAGTTTATTCAAAACAAAAAATGAAGTTTTAAAAAAAAAAAATCTCCTTTTGCCCTTTTTGCTTCCATTCTATAAGTAAACATGAGCATGTTTGATAAAGGCAAGATTACATTCTGAAAGAAGCGTATCTGTGATATACTTCAGCTCATTTTTATAACATAATGAACTTCATGAACCTCCTCTTTTTAATTTTTCTTTACACTCCATGCACTAATATTCCTTCCATAAGGGACCTCTGAAACATTATTCCTTAAAATGAAAATGGATAAGAAAAAGCAAAGGGGAAAAGAAAAATTAAACTCTTTGTTGTCCTAACTGCAGTCAGCTCTCCTGCCCCACTGTTAGAAACCATCTTTCTTAAACAGCTGAGTCTCAGGCTGTAGACCGAAGAGGGGACCTGGAAACGTGTCTCAGATGATGTCTGCCAGCCAAGAAATGGGATGACTCAGTATTTGCCATGCTCCCCTGCTACAGGGAAATTTTACTGGTATTTTACAGCTGTGCCTCTTTACTTGCTTCTGCAAAATTCCAGAAATCAGGCAGTTCACATTCATGGATCACTAGAAAGCACTGTGTAAGTCTATGAAAATTACTATTTTAGGAATGATTACTCTAGAATTCGAAAAAACTGACTAAAAATCCTTCTTTAAAAAAACCAAAGTGTCTTTCCATTTGTTCTGTGTGACCTAACGACAGAAACTCTGCTTTCAGATAGTCTCATCAAATTAAGGGGCATTATAGGAATATAAGAAAAAAGATCAAGGCTATAGCACCTGTATGGTTGGGAATTCAAGAGAATATTAAAGGGTTCTGGTGTGAAAGACCATAGGCAAAAAAACCCAAACCCTGAGTCTTTGTTATAGGTCACCTCGATAAAAAAAAAATCCAACAGTATTCTGTATTCACCTTAATGAAAAAGCATTTTTCATTAAGCTGAGCAAAAGGTCTTTATAAATTCATATGAAAGAGTGCATTGTAAAAGAACACAGAACTTCCCCTCACATCCACCACTTTTTTGTGACAGCCCATGAAACTCCATTTGGGCACAACAGTCAGAGTAGCCCTTAGGTAAGGGTGGCAATTACAGTACTATAGACACACTCAATAGGGACAATGAAGACCACCAACTCACTCAACATTAGACATCTGTTACACAGCCAGAACTTTTGCTTGCTACCAACCTGGTCTGAATTCGAACTAGTGAAGAAAGGTTCAGTATCTCACTACAATCCCCTGAGCCATCTAGTCACCCCAAATTTATTAATTTTAAGCTTACCCCTGGACGATGATGATCTTTCATTCTGGAACCTAAAATAATTACAAAAAAAAGTGACCAGGCAGATGAATAAATGTCATGATCAACAAAATAAAAATACCTACTGTTAAAACTTGGAACAGAGTAGCAACACACAAAATTGAAGCTTCCCCTATCCAAAACTACTATGATGTTCTGCAAATTCTTAAAGCTTCTAAGCACTCTTCTGTTCAGGAACTGAATAATCTTATCACATACAGTCTTGTGAATTGTCTCACCCATGCATTCAGCTCTAAAAATGAACTACGCTACACACTATTCTTTGTACTTATTTTGGTATGCTGGAATCAACCCCAACAGCCACATTTGACTTCTTTAGCCAGTACAAACTACAAATGCAGTATTTATGCAGACCACTAGCACACAGCATCAAAGTTGTATATACGAGTAGCCCAAAGGCAATAAAAATTAATTTTATCATTGTTAAACGGCTTGCTTCACCTGTCACATTTCTGACTCATCTTCATCTATCTCAGATATCAAATAACAGGCATTCTGCCTTAACTTCTGCTCTAATGGAATCCTCCCTGTCTCAGGGTCTATTACTTCTCACCATGCCCACGCATACTAAACCTAGAAGACTGCATACTTCAGTGCAGACTAGGGACTGCACTGGCTGTATACACATCAGCTTGAGTCTGGAAGCAATATATCCTCAATGGCATGGTTCTGAGTCCAAACTAACAAGCTGTTTGAAGAGTCTCCATGCACAGCTTGAAACAAAGTCACTCTGCTCTCAGACCCGAACTGTGAAGTCCACATAATGTTATGCTGTGGTGTGCCAGCATTCCAATCACACAGCATTGCTATGTTTTTTGCTTATTTAGCAGGCCTGACTGGCTTTTATACCTTTAAATCTCTCATGATTTTGAGATCTAGTAAACAGAGCAGTTTCCAGAACAAAGTATTGCTATTCTTTGTGCCTGGCTTTTAAAATTAAGCGTAAGAAAAAACAGGATTCACTAAAACTGAAGGGGTGTGCTCAAATTGCTCTTATTTTAAGCTACCTTTAACCAGTGGAAATCACTAGCAGATGTGCTGGGTTTGGCTGGATAGAGTTAATTTTCTTCATTACAGACTGTATGGGGCTATGGTTTGGATTTGTGCTGAAAACAGTGTTGATAACAAAAATGTTTTCATTAGTGCTGAGCAGTGCTTGCACAGAGCCAAGGCCTTTGCTGCTCCTCACCCCACCCCACCAGCGAGCAGGCTGGGGGTGCACAAGGAGTTGGGAGGGGACACAGCTTGGACTGCTGACCCCAACCGACCAAAGGGATATTCCATACCATATGGGATCGTGCTCAGCATATAAAAGCTGGGGGAAGAAGGAGGAAGTGGGGAATGGTCAGAGTGATGGTGTTTTGTCTTCCCCAGTAACTGTTAGGTGTGATGGAGCCCTGCTTTCTTGGAGATGGCTGAACATCTGCCTGTCCATGGGAAGTGGTGAACGAATTCCTTGTTCTGCTTTGCTTGTGTGCATGGCTCTTGCTTTCCCTATTTCTCACCCATGAGTTTTCTCCTTTTTACCCTTCTGACTCTCTCCCTCATCCCACCAGGTGGGGCTGGGAGCGTGGCAGAGGGGAAGTGAGCAAGCAGCTGTGTGCTGTCTATTTGCCAGCTGGGGCTAAACCCCAACAGCAGATTTTGCTTCTTTAAATTAACATTTTTATAAGCTTTTGTCTGCACCATCCCATAACCAGCTCTGTAGAATCCTTGAAATCCTTTTGCTTGCTTTGTTTTAGGCTTCAGCTAGCCAACTGTGTAAATGCAGAGCTTAAACAGCAACATCCATCCTATAGTTGAAACAGTCTTACTTAAAAAACCTGGCTGCGTTGATCTCAAGACAGTTTATTATAAGCTACGAATTTCTTTATTCAAAATTCCCTGCAGGCTCTATGAAACAAAGCCAATATATACAAACTTTTCAGTAATTTTTAAACTATGTAATTGTGAAATCACACCTTATGTTCAAGTAAGCTGCATCTACCTCAGAAAAGCACAGCAGAGAAAACTGTTTTTCTGAATATTTAAGTGCTAAAGAAAAAAATGCAGAATATTAGGTGCTACTTACCCATAATAAACACGTAAGCCAGACTAAACGAATTTGCAATAGCCATAATAGCTAAGCCAGCAATCACAACAGATCCATGTAACGGAGGACAGGCTGTTAAAAACACGATAAAAGAAACTATCACCTGACATGAGTAAAAGCACAAACTTTTCTTTTCGGATATAACTGAATACTAAAATAAATAAGCCTGATTAAAACCAGAAGTGATTAATTTCTCTTTCAAAGCTATCCTCAAACTACCTCTGCATCTTTCTTTTCCTGTATACATTCTTTAATGATACACAGGCATTTACCAATTTATCCTGTTTAGCTGTACTATTCTACTACAGTGTAGCTATTCTGCTGTCATTCACTGCGACTGACAACATTCTTTCATTAATTGTATTTTAAATTTAAACTTACATCTTCAGTCCCAAATATTTGAACTATAAATGCATTAGATTACAGAATACAATACTGTTACCGATAAAACAGGGTTAAAAAAAAAAGGGAAGAAGGGAGAAGAATATGAGGGTAGTTCTGAGGCGAATCTACCACAGATAACAGGAATTCTCTGGGATATCACAGAGCAGAAACTGGCTATTACAACCTAACTATAGTTTACTACAGAAACTCCTTGTTCTCTGATCCTTGTTTCCAGGGTCTTGAAGTCATTGAAACTACCTGGGACCTCAACCTAGGATGAGCTATTTTTACTGATGCTTTAAGCTAAACTTCCAGAGATACAGATAACATCTACCTTATATGACCTGTGAAAAAGGTCACCCTGAAAAACTAGGGAGACTTTCCATTTACAACATAACAAAAATACCTTCCATTCTGGATTACTCTAGAGGATTAATGCTTTACCAGAAATCTCCCATCAGTTTATTTTGCTATTACATTTGACAACACTTAGATGCCCCTTACAAATACTTCTGTAAATACTAAACAATAAGCATAAAACTCAAAACACAACTCCACTGAAAGGTCTATCATTTCACTCAGATTAGACAAACCTTTAGAAAACACTTCAAGGAGAAATAGTTTTTCTTAAATCCCCAAGCAAATAAACGATTAAAATGAACAATGTCTCTAAGAAACAGTAAGTCAGGGTTATAAAGTTCTTCCAACGAACATGAGTATGTATTCTACTACTAAATATACTGCCAAGGATGCCAAGTCCCTAAATTCGCCCTTTCCTCTGCTGTGGGGTTTTCTGGTGGTGGGAGAGGAAGGTAAGCATGGGATAAAGGGAGGGTTAGAGGCAGGGATAAGGGGTACCGCTGTGTGCGGCGTTTAGTTGAAGTTTCTTTACCACAGTGACTGTTTTTCAGTGCTGAAAAGGAATGCCAGCCATAACCAGACTTAAAATAGTCCAAGAATGTTTCCAAGTTTACTGTCTCTGCATTTGCCGCCTTAGGATGTTTCAATGGTATTCACTTCCCAGTGACTCACTTATCACTCACATACAAGCGGACATTAACAAGGAATTTCTGATATATTTGTTGAACATGAGAAAATTATTATGACTCTAGTTTAGTTTCTAAATATCCTAGGCCTCAGAAATGATAACAGCAATAAAGGTCAACGTTGGGTTTAGGTGACTCTTTAGGGCATCACCTGTTGCAAAATTCAAACAATTAACTTTTTAAAGCAACTGCTCATATAATGCAGTCATGCTGGATATAGTCATACTAATGAAACTGATATACGTAATACTACCTTTGGGCTATTCTTCTTTCACCAGATTAAGAGAGCATTAACACAGTACTCCCAAAGTACGTTTACAGAACTGACTTGCTAACAGTCAATCTAGTGAAGCCATTTTCACAGCATTTTGATGCTACAAATAAACAAACATCAAGTACAGACAAAAGTAAAAAGACACTTTTACAGAAGATAAATTGCTTACCTGAGACACACAGTGCGAAACCAACCACAGCAATTATATAACCAAGAACGTGCAAACCTATCAGAGCAAGCATTGCTTGTGATAGACTATCAAAAACTGGGAAAGACAGAAAAAGAAACAAAATTGTCATTTTTAAGAGAGATATAAAAGGTAGATCATTCACATAAAGCTAGAAAACCAATTCTTCTACATTCCAAGCTCGACCAGCCAGCATGATAACAAAACAGCTATGCAAGTCACTCAGGGCTCCTGTATGTATACAAACACAAATATATTTATGCATAATTATAAATAAATCATATGTAGAAAAACATAATCACACACATTCTGTGACTTAGTTATCTGCCCCGATCCCAAGACACAGGGAGGAAGAACAGGAATCACTCAAATGTCCTACCCTAAATCTCATTTTTCAAGCAGGTAACTGATAGTTCTTCCCTGAAGCAACTTAACCAAACACAGGTTAAACACTTTGTTTCAAGATACTATGAAGGTCAGCAACCCAGCATGCTATGGTAGCACCTATTTATTAAAAAAAAAAAAGAAACCCCCACAAAAAAAATCCAACCAAAAAAACCCCCCACAGTATGTAGATTTGGGGGGAGGAGGGGTGCGCACCTGAGTTTTACTATCAGTATGTTCTTGAGCTAGTGAATTAAAAAAATACTCACTCAATCCAAATATAAAGTATTGAAGTGGTACGAAAATCACAGCAGGGACTACAATTAGGCCAAGACCGGCTTGATTCTGTGCAGAATAGCCATCTGCAAACATTTGTATGGAAATTAGTAAAACAGAAATCCTTGATTGGAATAAAGCACAAAGCAACAAAATTAAATCATTAGTATCATAAACTTTTTAGGGTCCAGAAAAAGTCCCACTGAAGCACCAGAAGCACTTCCTAGCCCCTAATATTCACCCAAGGCACCAGGAAAGAAAATAAATTTGGAGTCTGTATCTCCCTATGATCATCTGAGGGCTTGACAACCACAAGACTGGTTTTGTTGTATTCTATAAATTTTTCTATTTTAAAATTAGTAGATGGCAATTAACATGTGGTACTAACTGGCATACTACTGCATGGAAGAGATTCATTTGTGCTCTTATTCTCTTCAACTAGGCAGGCAATTTTAATACACTTACCTTGGACAAAAAGAACAGTGCCTACAACAGCAGCAACTGTGAAGATGATAACTGGTACAATAATGCCCACTTTCTTCTGAGGTACAATTTCGTATTTTAATGCTTAAAGATAAAACAAAGATACAGACAGAAAAACAATCAGACATACAGATTCTCTCACTAAAATACACAGATTTTATGATAAGAACTGTTATCCTAAACAAAGCAGCAAACTCCTAAAAAATTAGAACTATAAATATTATCAAGATTTCATTTGTTTTCATTGTTAGATATAGTTAATATGGCTTACTCAGATAAATAAAACCTGTCACTGGTGTTTTAGTCAAATTCTGAATTCCACCTTCTATACAATTCAGGTGATACGTTATCAAAATAACTTTGGGACATGGTATAGGTTAATTCAAGTTGATGCACTACTGACATTTAAATAATGTTACAGTGAATTTGTTACTCAGGTGAGCGTCAGACAGGGATTTAGAAATTCCAGTTTTATTTCTCTTCTAGAAAGAGGGTACATATGACAAAATCATTAATAGTATCCTATTTATGGAAGGGTTACAGAATACTCTCTCGTAATCAAAACTCCATCTTTCATGATATTCACACTGTCTAACAGACAGGACCTTAGTCATACTCCCAAAAACAACTGTAATTCAAACCAAAAACTTATTTGGAATAGTAATAATAGAAAAAACTTCCTGCATATCTGTACTGGAAATTAACATTTTTTCACATTATAAATATGCTAAATAAGGAAAGCAAGACACAAAGGCAAAAATAAGTAATGGATATGCTATAATTAAATCCTAAAAGCCAATCCTGTAAGCAAAAAAACCCCCCAAAAAAGCCACGCCGAAAAAACCAAACCAAAAAACCCAACCCCCGCATAAAACACAAAACCAAGAAAACATATATTCCCAAGTGTTACACAGAAAAATCAAGCCCAGTTTAACAAACTATTTAAAGGTATACTGTAGCATTGCTGGATTCACAGGCTAACTAAACCAGGGAAAAATAAAGGAAAAAAAAACACAAAACCAAACAGTAAGTACACCCATATTTATTAAATTAGAGGCAGCATGATTACTTTTCCCCAGAGAGGTCATAAACCTTGCAATGAAGTGCACAGATGCAATAAAATCCAAGTAGGCTCAACTTAGTCCTGTAAACGGTAGTGGCTCTCCATAGATACATCCATGCTTATTTCATGACAATAATTACTTTCCTATCAAAATACTAAAAACATTAAAGTTTTGCTATGAATGGAAGGCAATGACAATTCCTGAACACATCAGAACAAATCAGAGACTCCTAAACCATTATAAACAATAATGAAGATCAGGAATGTAACCCATATAATTGTTTTCAACCTCTAACCATGGATGGACCTTTGAGGAGTCACATACTGCTTTCAAAGGTTCATGAAAAGGTGATAAAGGAAATTACATATAGATGGCTGAATATATGTGTGATTACTATAAATCACACCGAGTGTGCTTGCTTTCTACATCTTATGAATTCAACTAAGCAGAATTATTTTTTATTTTTTAGAAGTCTACACACTGAAAAAGGCTAAAAAAACCCTCAAAGATTGATGTAACAAATTGAACCACAAGGAATCATCTGGAAGACTAGGACATAAAGCACACTCTATACTCCATATATGTTGGACACCAGTGTATAAAGAATATGTCTGAATGTCTGACACTAGTGAATGTACAACCTCTGAAGACATTTAACAAAACTATTGATGTTGGTGTTGAATTTTAAGTCAGCCAGTGCTAAAAGACTAGTGAACAATTTTACATTAAGGAGAGAGCACCATCTTTGTCTAATATTGATTTTATGACCAAAAATGAAACATGTTCCTGTTTCTAATGGTCCAATAATGTCACAGTGAACCAACAGTGAAGAAAAGCTTCCTTGTTCTAACCAATGACAGCACACATTATCTATTACACCTCACGAAAATTACACATATGCCAAAAAGCTCACCATTTGCAACAGCACTGGCAGCAGAAACATCACTGCGTGGCAGACTAGCTCTAAACACAGACCCTTTAGGCTGCACATCATACCTTTATCTATGAAGACATACAGTTGCTAAAAATCTTAACCCCAGGAAGCAAACCCTGGCCTCCGAGCCAATAGAGCAAACTGGCCCAGATCCCACCGCTTACGGCTAGACTCCCTACAACAGACTGCCTGCATTCATACTGCATGACTGGGGCACTATGTGGCACGCTGAAGCCCCCAAACACGCATCTTTTTGATGAGGTCTTTTTTTTTTTTCCCCAGTTCAAATGCCCCAAACTCTGCAAATACTATGTCAGACCAGTGTTTTCATAGCTTGATGCCAAAAATGTATGTTACATGTCCTGAACGTATCCTTCACTGAAAAGAAAATGGAAGATTATGCGGCACAAGAGTGTAGCTTTGGGTGCTCTTATTAACCAAGCCTTTAAGTAACAGTCCTTATTAGGAACTCTCTTGTGGTGTTAGCTGATTCATGCCAAAAGGTAGCCCAGAAATGAACATAACACAATGTGGATGGTCAGGAGAGGATTCCAGAGCAAACCAAACACCAACTTATTGGACAAAGCAGACGTACCTCTGTGTATTACCTGGATCAATTCTACCAGACATCTTTTAGATGTAAGCACTGTCTTTCATTTTACATGCAAGTGATTTTAGGACAAATCAGTAATTGCAAAGAATTAAAGATCAATACTTACTGATAACAATGAACTGAGCCGCACACAAAACAACAACTGAGAACAGCAACACTATGATGACAGCCCTTTCCGCTAGAAGAAACCATGATCCTAGAGAATAAAAAAAGAAAAATGGTAGGAAACAAACAAAACCTGAGGTTATTAGCTTTACATGTATTGCTCCTTTTAGGCTATGCTCTAGATTGCTCAACGCTCATGGTTAACATTAAGAGTCATAATAGGCTAAGAAAGCTATGACTTCTACCTATGTATTTTTCACTCTGATCTTGTGTGTGACAACCTAGTTTTTCAGTATTTCTAGTTACCCTAACGTTTTCCAAACTGGAAGTCTTAATCTTCACTGCAGCAGAGGATATGCTTAAGCTGTTGTCTGGCAGTACGTGCCAATTAGCTTGTGGAACTACAAACAGCACGGTAGATCAGAAAAGTGGTGTATTTAGGCTAAGCAGGGAAGTTGGGGAAGATTTGAAAAGTCCAATTTGATGCTTCCCTAGCTATTCTATTTTACCTCCATCTGCTGTAATTCCTGAAGAAGTCCAGATGTGTAATAAGGAATACAGGAGCTAACATAAATGAGAAGGAAACACTGCTTTGCTAATTTTAGAAATCACACATTTTCCTTTATGTCTTCCCACTATCATCCATTTAGCTTTTTTCCTCCCTGCATCTTGGATGCCTTAGGCTGTTCAGTCACTCGTGCTGTAAGACCATGTAAGCCACCTTCCAACATAAAATTCTGAAAATATCTCCACCGAACTAGAAAATGCAGTTGATTCTTGCATCTCTGCTCATAACTTCATTTTGACTCAGTCCGTGGAATCCAAAGTCTCCATTTCTTACATTATACTTGCCACTGTTTCTCTGCCTGCACACTTGCTTCCAAAGAAATTTCTAATCTTCATTTAGATGCATACTCCTTGCACTTACTCTCCATATTTAAAAGCTGTATCTGCAGCTCCAGAAACACAGAATTAAGTAGCAATATCTCACAACTCTCAATGCTAAGGAAATACCTTGAGGACAGTTAAATTCACCAATTCCCCTCTTCCCCCCCCCGCCCCCCGCAAGGGGTCACATAAGAAGATACGGTGGTTACAACATAAATACAAGGCAATCACAAAATATACTAAAAGCAGAGAAATGGAGGAAGGGGGAAAGTGTGCTCAAAGACAAGGGCACTAGCATGTAAGTCTTGTTCACTCTGCTACCCACTTCCTATGAGAATCCATGAATTCTGTAAAGTGAGATGGAGACTAGTTGGCTTTTATAAGATTATCTTTGTAAAAGCATCAATGGCAACATATTAGTAGTGACAGCATGAATTCATTGCTCAGAAATGACAGAGTGAAGACTGGTACAGTATTTCCATTACTCACTAACCCTTTTCAAAACTCATTTGCTACACTTTCTTCTATTAGCTCATTATCTCAAGAGTCTCTCTAGAACACTAAGGAATAAACAATAAAAAAATACGCAGAAGAATTTAAAGAGAGAACAAGCAACTATTTTACCTTCAGCTAAGCCCTCAAAGATAAGACTAAGTTTTATATTTTCTAGCATATACTCTCAAACCTAATGTGACCTCGCAACTATAAATTCTTCACCAACCACATCTTTCCTTTGGTGTTGGGGTATATTCCTCGCCGCAACTGACAACTAGAAAATGAAATTAGAAAAATCACATCAGTTTCCTGCTTTGTAGTCTTTATACTGCTTTCAAAATTTTCAACACAGAAAAAGTAAAAATTAAACAATATAACTTGCAAATGGGACTTGACTCTACTACATTGTCAAGCCTTGTTTCCTCTTCTAGAGCTTAACGCTGAATGGCAAAAACAGTTCAAAAAGGTTGAGTAAGGAAGACCCTATAAGAGAAGGAAACACACTGCCTGTATCTCTTCCCTTGTTTTTGCAGTGTTCTAAGAACCAAATGATTTTGTAGCATCCTCACTCTTTCAGTGGCTGTGCCCCTCTCAATCCATTTCAGAATCACATTTGTTTTGCAGTATACACTGTTAACTCAATAATTAGACCCAACTGTGAATGACACAGATGTTTGCAGCAGGACACAAGTAACATCTGTTTGAGCTTCATAAACATTTTAACGACAAATGCAAAAAACTAATACCAAAAACATCCTAGGACAATTCTACAGTGCACAGGTACAACTCCAAGTGCTACGCATATGTAACATATTGAATGCTTCTGAGAAGTTTTCCAGAAGCAAGAAGCAAATCTCCTGTGCTGAGCAGATAAACAATGCACACATACGTTCAGTGAAACTGTCACTTCTGCAGAACACCAGACAGACTGCACATGTACAGCAGATTCTATTATTCAATAGCTAAGGTGCTAGAGCACGTGGGCTCTGTCTGACAAGATACAGTAAAATGGCTCACTAAATGAGAAATTCATCACTTAGTCACCATTATTTTAGTTTAATATCGTCTTCTGAAGACAACACTTAATACTAGACAACTGTAACAAGACACCATCTAGTAGTAGCGTTTTCAGTCTCACTGGAAAACTGCATACCTTCAGATCAAGTTTTAGAGCTCTTATACAGAACTTCTATTAGTTCTATCTGTAATTTTTCCAGCATAGCTAAAGATTGCAAGATGTAATTCTTCAAATAAAAGATCTCTGCAGCCACTGTGATGGATGTATACATCTCAGTATCACAAAGATATTAGGAATATGTCTCAGTATGTAATGCAATAACAAGAGGGTGCTGAAAATATCACCAACTGTAAAAGATGTGGGAAAGCATAGATTTTGCTATATTAGTGATCTTCAGACATTATTATAGAATGCAAAAACACGTTCAGATCTTTCCCATAGAAGCACTTTCCTATAACTTAATCCAAAATAACTCATTGGTGTCCAAGTTAGAAAGCCTGGGTATTTTTTTGTATCTTCAATTTAAAGTAATACACTGTTGTATTTATTATTTTTCTCTTTCCCATAAGATTTTGCTTTTCTCTCTCAAAAGGTTCTAAAACAATGGTAGGCAACTCACCTGAGCCGTTTCTAAGTTCAACTCTTGTTTCTCCTTCTCTGTTTGATTCTGTTACTTCACAACTGTAATTTCCAACATCTGCTTCTGCACTGTTAAGCATTAGAGAGGCAACACCCTTGGGTAAATCCGCTTGAGATACTAAGTTAGCTGATGGAACTGTTGGATCTCTGAGAAACTTCTGGTTTGCTCCATTGAAAGAAAAAATTCTATTTCCTTGTTTTTTCCACGTAACAAACATGACATTTATATTGTTCTCCTTTAGATTAGTCACATGGCAAGGTAAAATGACAGTTTTATTACAGTCAGTTTTTTCAACAACATTTGTCCCACTAAATATCAACTGGGCAGAACCTATAAAGAAAAATGAAAATTGACACATTCAGAATTATTTCTTAATATATAAGAAAGAAAAAAGAATTACAACACGTGACTTGGGAAAACAAAACAAACTCTCCTGTAAAACCTCAAAAAGAGAACCATGCTTTAAGGGAGTAATAAAAGAAGGAAAAAGGCATTATTATCATTCTACTACAGCCCCTCTACACAGACATAGCCATTCTCACATTCATTTAATGTATACATACCATAACCACAAAAGTAATAAAACTTTGGGCTGCCACTTACTTGGACACTTCCTCTAGAATGCCATATGCAGAAATACTGCATTAAGGCCTGGTTTCTGCAAAGTATATATATAACATTAACCACAGGTTGTCCCACTGACGCTCAAATTTTTGCTGCTGATCACACAGGTATCTAAAAACAGAAGTCCAGGCATCAGTTCCACACAGGCATCCCTTACACTTCGTTAAGGACACGGAGGAGAAAAAATTCTACTTCTACACTTCTGAGAAAAGGCAGGCAGGGCAGCTTAGTCAATGAAGGTTTGTCATTTGTTCCTTCTTATCTCTGAAGGTGGAGCCACATGTCCATGGCTTTAGATTGTTTCTTGCAAATTCTCTCTTTACCTTTCCGATGGAAGAGGTGCACACACAATAGCACATGCTAAATAAGATTATTACTTAGTATTTCACTGTACATACAACAGAATTGAAAATGGAGAATTCGTAACAACAAATGTCCTGTATTATAAATCATTGTGATTAACGCCACTAACAATAGCACTCAATGCAGGTAATGAAAAACCACCACCATCACACAGGACTGTACTATCATTACTGGAGTTTACCATTTCTCTCCCACATTGAATCACAGTTCTAAAACAGTAGTACTGACTGAACACTGTTTCAAGAAACACCTAAATCCTATGTTGAGATTATATCTGAAACGAAGACCCATTCATCAGTTCTTGAGAATACCAAAAATTACAACATCAGTATTTAAATTACACCAGGAACCAGAAGAAAGAGGTTAATTACACTAACTTGACTGCAAAACATGAAGGTTTTGAATTCTGTATTTTCTGTGAAATTGTAACTTAGTTTAATAGCTGTTCTAATAGTCCTTGCTCCCCAAAGTCCCAGTGGCATTAGTCATTCAAAAGGCGTGACTATATCCACCTGACAAAACCAAATATGGGAAAAGATATGTACTGTAAAATAAGACCACAACCCCCAATACTGTAAGCACACAGACTTAGAAACTGGAGTAGCTCCAGTGACTTCAGAGGAACTACTGGTACTCACATGCCTAAACCAGCTCAAAATTGTAGTATGTATTTGATGACTAAATTCAATTAGGGGAAAGGGAGGAAGAAGGAAAAAAAAAAAGGGGAAAAAAGATCAATAGAAGTTGTGTCAGTATTTGAAGTAGCTCAATTTTTTCAAAGCAACAGTCCTTGAAACACTGGTTTAATTTTCTCACACAAGTCACTGGATTACTACTGAATATCAAAAGCTTATTATAAACTGACTAAATATGCATTATGCATGACGGCACTTAACATTGAAGAAATAATTATTTTCTGGTTTACTGTGTTGCATTTTTTAAACTACCTCAAAAAATAAAAGTAACAAAAGCAGAACGAAGAGAAACCATCCCAAAACCATCTGTTTTATTTTAACAGTACCTCATGACAGAGGGTTTCTGAGTATGGGATTGTTGGGTTTCCTTTTTTGGTTTTTTTCTGGTTTTTTTTTTCTTCATTCAGAGCTAGCACGTTTACATTTTGCAGAAAGAATTTATTCTCTGCTGACTCCATCACTGAGAAAGGTGATTTTCAACTAAAGGAAGCGGCTATACTTCCAAATATTTACCAAAGCAAATAAAAACAACTATCTTGAAGGAATTAAAACAAATTGATCGTGATTTTCCCACTAGTATTAGCACAGAATGGCAGGGAGCTGGGAATTACCGATTCCACCGGTTTGCTCTTCTGTAGACTATGAGAGCTGGCATATTTTGCCTGAAGCCAATTAAGAAGTACTCATGTGAACTGCTCCACCAGCAGAGTGCTGGGGAAATAACGAGCAGGTTGCAGACAGACACCAAGAGAAGCAACAGACAAATATCTGTGGGTTTTGTCCTCTGCAAATTTGACTGCTTACTACAGATGATATTTTCCCACAATCAACTTCCAACGTTCTTCTTGTGGTACGAGGAAGTCATCAGAACCCTTCAGCAACAGTTCCCAAATCCTGCAAGCAGCAGACTACGAGGTGGGCTACTAGCCTCAAACTTTCTCACGGATTATCGTATCAGAGGTGTCACATAAGGGTGACAATTTGAGAGCCTTACATTAAGCTATATGGGGGGTGTGTGTGCTGCTTCTGAAGAATATGCAGTTGTGAAGCTGCCACAGAAAGGTTGTTTCAAATGATATATGCAGTGCAAATTCGGGAATACTGTCCCTTATGTCAAAATTGGCTAAGCTTGGTAGTTGCACCTCATGGACACCTGCATTTCTCACTGACTACAAAACATGCTAGGGCACTCGGCATTTCAGCCAATCTCCAGCTAACTCAGGAAACCAGACATAAATTCAGATACTAGCTTTAAACACACAGGTTTAGATGTGCTGTTTACTGACAGATGAACAATCTAGCATTTGCATCTCAGTGAAAAGTGTTGTAATTTTCTTAACCCTCCCTTCCCCCACGGAGTTTCTTCCTGAGGCACAGAAAAATAAGAAGTTCGATTGTGAGGCATCATTTACATATCAACGACATCTGAACTTTTTTTAAGATCAAGAAACGTCGTCAACCCTAGACTAGAAACTGTACAGCAGACGACCAGTTTGATCATCGTTATTTCTTCAAGAAAGCACGTTAAGCTAAGCTGCCCTAACGCTGCTAGGCACAACAAGACGAGGAGCTTTACGCTGGTCACGGCGTCCCTCCTCTCCCCCGCAACTTCTGCAAGAAGCAAGCCACCCCCAAACCCCGGGAGGACGAGGGAAGCGGTAGGGCGTAGGGCTGGAACAAACACACACACCCCCACACCCCCACACC